GCTGTGCAGTGATGCTGGGACAAGCAGAGAACCTTAACTAGCCTGCTCTTCTTTATTCTCCAGGCTTCTTTTGTTTGTTTCATTTTCCTATTTTGAGATGGGGTCTCATTCTGTTGTGTAGTAGTTCAGTCACAGCTGATTAGAGCCTTCTACCCCGGGCTTCAAACGATCCTCCTGCCTGACCATCCTGAATAGCTGGGACTACTGTTATGTGCCATCATGCCCAGCTAATTTTTAAAAAAAATTTTGTAGATGAAAAGGTCTTGCTGTGTTCCTCAGACTGGTCTTGAACTCCTGGTCTCAAGCCGTTTTCCTGCCTTAGCTTCCTAAAATGCTGGGATTACAGAGACGAGCCACCACACCTGACCTAGACTTCTCTTTTGGGTAACCCTTTAGCCTTTGGTCTTCTAGTAATTAGCCAGGTGACCTGGGCTTGGTCCCTTCCTATCTAAACAGAGTTCGGAGTGAATGATCTCCAGGGTCCCTCCTGCCTCTTTCTCATGTCACTGCCTGGCTTTATATCTGTCGTGGCAAGAACATCTAATTGCAGGTGCACGTTTGTCTGATAACTGCCTGTTCCTCTACCATCCTCACTTGTTTCTGTTTGTCTAGGAATTTCAGGGAGCTGAAATGGTTGTCTCACTTTCTTCCATATATAAAAACACAAATTGCTAATGGAATTTCTCCAGGATCACAATGACCTTTAGTCATGTGCTTCTAAGAAATAATTTAATTCTCTAAATAAAAATAATAGACATGATCTAAGAAGCTTCCTTCTTTATAGCGTTCAAAACTATGGAATAATACACTTTGTTATCTGTTAAGATCCTCACAGGACACAGTGAATGTTTATATTTTCCTGAAGAGTATTTGTTGCTGTGTGTTTCTTAAGAGCTCTCAGTTTGTAAACGTTTTCATGAATAAATGTGTTTTTCTGCCTGAAAAATAATATGTGGGAGTGATTTGTAACCTGGATGGAATATGTTTTATTTCCCATGCCTTGGCAAGGGTGAATATTTGTGAGGAGATGGCAGTGAAATTGTGAGCATTTCAAATTGCCCTACTGAAGAGTCAGTACGTTAAATTATTTTAACTTCTCTTGCTGGGATAAAAAACAAACTGAAAACGGGTGGGGCTGACTGAAAACTGCAGATGGACAGAACTGAAAGAATCGGGGCCAGCCGGAGGAAACAGAAGCTGACGTGGGCTCACAGGCTTGCAAGGACTGGGAGGCTTCTCTGATTGAGATACGTTCAAAGACTGGTGGTAAAACTTATAGATTACAAATCAAGTCAGTCACTGCTGATGGGTATGGGGTTTTCTTCTTGGGTGATGAATAATATTCTGATGTTAATCACGGAAATGGATGCAAATGCTGTGAATCCACCACAAGGCCCTGAACACTACATTTTGAATGGGTGAATATTATGGTACGTGAGTTATAGCTCACTGTTGTATTCAATCAAGTCAGTCAGACACTTGCCAAAATAGTGGAAGAAGCTAGATTCCTTTTCTTTATATGTTGATAATGAAATGGCTACAAGAAAGTACATGTCTTGTTTTTGAGACCTTTCAAGGTTTCTAGTGTTTATTATCAAATAATGATTTCAACACTCTTTGTACTTTTTTTTTTAAGACGCAGGAATCACTGTGCTGCCCAGGCTGGTCTTGAACTCCTGGGCTCTGCTAATCTTCCCGCCTTGGCCTCTTCCCAAAGTACTGGGACGCCATAGGCATGATTCACTGTGCCTGACTTCAATAACCTTTCTAAAGTATTTTATTGGATAAAGAACATACTATTGTATTGTTATATAAAATAGTGATTAATTTCCCCAGTAACAGCAGCATAATACTGAATAAGTAGTGTCATATAAAAATAATAGTCAGTATTTGTTGACCATCTCCAATGTGCCAGACACAGAGCCAGATGCTTTATGTATATTGTAACGTTTTAGCCCTTAGAATAGCTCTATGAGGTCCTGAAGACTGAGGCTGTGAGAGGCTTCAGGCGATCCTGGTGGTAGGTGGTGGAGCTGAGACACATTAGGCCAGGTTCTCTTGCCAGGGCCCATGTTCTGGGTGCAGTACTCAGGAGCCCTAAGGGTCCAGCATAATCACACACTAACTTAGTAATCACACCTAACTTGTTGGGCAATTCTGGGTAGGTAACCATATACTTCTCACTTTTAAAGGAGAGGGAGAGACAGGAAGCTAAAGTTCTTTACGGGTCCATGTAGCTGTGAGTCTAGTCCAAAGCCATTTCTGGGCACTCCTCTGCTCCTGAACCCAGCGGGCATACCAGCCACCCTCAGCACTGAGAGCACCACCTGGGATGGACAATGTCATGTCCATCATTAAAAGGACAAAGCAAAGTAGTTTCATGATGGACTAACACGTTGTCAAAGTTAAAAGAACACCTGTCGGGGCTCAGTGGTGCCTATGGCTCAAGTGGCTAAGGCGCCAGCCACATACACTTGAGCTGGTGGGTTCGAATCCAGCCCGGCCCGC